TACACCTATTCATCAAAAATGTTTGAGTCTCCAATACTTTAAAACTAAATTGTTTACTTTTCTGAAAGTCTCCCCACCCCCCCAAATGCACCTAACATAACAAAGGTGTGCAGATCTTTCTCTCAGGGGCGTGACTAAACTTCATACCACCAAACTAAACAGTTGTTACTACAATGTCAACTACTGGTGGAGCTGGTGCTCTTACACACATTATACACACACAAGTTTCAAGAGAAGCGGCTCCTTTGAAGCCTACTCGCATGTGCTTCTTGCTCTGGACAGACTTGCATCAAGTCGGAAGCTCCCAGCGGGCTCTGACTTCCCGGGACCCGACTCGGTGCTGGAGCACAGGAGCGGGCGCAGATGCAGTGATTACAGGCGGCTGGCCGCATTCCCTGCTCCGGCCCCATTGTTTGCCGAAAATGCTGAGGGCAGCAAGTCTGGGGAAGGTTTGGCAGCGGCCGTCAGTCGTAGTAAGTGCGTCACAATAGAGTTTGTAACTCAGAGCGCGGATCGGCCGGGCTCTGTTGCTCTCCACCTCAGTCCCTCTAGCTCCTGGCCCCGTGTGCCACACCAAACCGGACAGAACTCCTCTTGGGTGCAGCCGTATTGTTAAGTGCACCTTCCCAAATGGGGGGCTCCCCAGGGCCGTCCCAGGCACCCCCAGCGAAGTCCACAATTTCAACTAACTCCGCACGCTCGGCGACTCTGGGCGCGCGGATCCCTCCACCCCAGAGACCCTCCCCTCCGAAGGCAAGCACACCGAACTCACGTCCGCCCCTTACCTTCTGTGCGTAGCGTCCCGGCCCGCGCCCCGCGGCGGCCGACCCGCGCCCTGCGCCGACCCGGCGCCCCCAGACCGTCACCACCGAGGCACCGCAGGACACAAAGCCCCGCGCTCGGGTTCGGAGCCCCCCAGGCCGCACAGAGCCCACGCTTGCCCGCCCGCCCGCCGCCTCGCTCCGCCAGGCAGCCCAGGGCTTCGCGCGCCGCGCCTCTGGCCCGCGCTGCCCCGGCCGCCGCAGCTGAGAACATCCTCCGCCTCCGCCCGCTCCTCCCCTCGCGCACTGCGCCCGCCGCGGCTTGCACCGCCGGCCTCCCCGCGCCGCTGGCGCCGGTGCCCGCGCTCCCCATTGGCCCGCGCACGGTCGCTCCGCGCCGCAGCCAATGGGCGGCGGGGGCGGGGGCGGCGCCTACAGGTCCGGCCGCCAAAGGCTAGGCGATTGTTGACAAACTCGCCTCCGAGCGCTGCTCGGGCGGCCGCGGCGGCAGCCCGGCAGCTCCGACACCCAGCCCCGCCCGACCCCGACACCGCGCGCGCCTCCGAAGTTCCGCTGCTCCGGGCAGCCGGGCACCTGGAGACAAAGCGAGATCTGCGCTCTCACGGGACCCGCTCGGCCGTCCTCATACCGCAGTTCCTGCCACCCGTTCTCGTTCTTGCCAATCAGGGCGAGAGCCCCACGGCCTCAACTGCCCGGGCTGCAGCACCCATCCAACTCCAGCAACTTCCTCACCTGTCTCCCTGTGCGCCGCGGATTCGCACCAAATCTGAACGACCACCATCCCAGGCCACGAGCGTGCACATCCACACCCCAATCCTCGGCGTCCGAAGAGCCCTCCACCAGCAACTCCAGAGCCCCAGGGTAAACAGGCCACCTAGGGCACGGCGCCGCCAGCCTGCACCGCCAATGGACTGGGGTGGCATAGGGCGCACGGGAGCCTCCAGGACAACCAAGCTCTATGGGCCGAGCAAGTTCTGCGGGCCGGGGCTCGTCCCCGCTGTGGCGCTGGCGGTCGACGGAGGCCCTAGGTCTCTTGCTGCCAGTGGATCGCGCGCTGGCACTGTCCGCAGGGTGCCCGCAGACCGAGCAGGGCCCCTAGGCACTTTAAACAGGGCAAAACTCTAGCTTGAATAAGTTTAAGGAAAATCCCAGGCTCATTATTTAAATCACCACTGCAGTTCCGCAAACTCTCCCCAAGAGTCCGTGCGCCCAAGAACCAGTACGCCAAACCCTCTGGAACAGAGTGGTCACTCACTACTCCAGGCCGCGGGAGCCAGCGGCGAGACTTCCCGGCATGGGTGCTCGGCCCGGTGCCGCGGAGCGGGTACTCCAGCTCCCCGGCCGGCGGCAAGAGCACGCTCTCTTCCAACCTGGCCTGCGACGCTGCACAACCCCCGCGCGCTGCATCCCGATCCGAATCCTACTTCAGCTAAGTGCCCGAAGCTTCAGCGCCGACGACCCTTCCCCAGAATGCCCCAGCCTGGGAAGGAACCCGACCCACACCAATCGCCGCCTCCCGCCAGGCGACTAGCGGAACGAATGGGAGCGTCTCTGCCCGCACGTGCGCGGAAAGCTAGCACTACAGGGAGCCATACGGGCTCCAACGCCTCTGTTTTCCATCCGTCCCCGGCCCGCTTCTTGAGACTCGTAGGTATTTACCTTGCGTTTCTCAGTCCGAGAATCAGAGTCAGACATTGGGGGGGACAAGAGCCAAGGAAGGGCGCCGAGGTGGTAGAGACGGGAAACGGCACGAACCTAGCTGCCCGAGGCGGTTCTGACCGCAATGGGGCAGGGCTCACAGGCTGGCTGCAGGAATCCCGCCGCCGCGGTGTTGGCGCGCGGACGCAGCCGCGATACTACCAGCTAGAAACCCAGCGGCTGCGCGGAGCGAAGTGAAACCTGCGCGGCCCTGCAGCCCTGCTCAGACTGGCGGCCCCACGCCCGCGCCAATCACCGCGGGCCCCGCCCCCGCTAGGTCCCGCCCCGGCGGGGGGCTGTCAAGTCCCGCCTCCGCAGCTCCCGGGCCGCTGGCGCGTGCAGGCCGGGGCAGGTAGAGGCGGGGGTGGCCGGGCCGGGTTCCCTGCCGCGCGCGCCGCCAGCCCTGGCGTGTTTACCAGAGTGACTCGGCCTGCTAACGCTGCATGCGCGCCCATCCCCCACTCCGAAGTCTACACTCCCCCCCACCCAGTGTCCGCTGTGGCTAGCGCGCAGAACAGAGGGGGCGCTCGGGGCACGGTCCGAGCCCAGCCTGGCTACAGCCGCCAGTGAAAGCCTCTGGAGGCGCCCCTGCCCCTTACTGTGCAGTTTCTCCACCGCTCCGGCCAGCTTGGTGACAGGATTGGTCCTTGAAAACTCGCGGATGCGAGGCTGGACGCTGGGTCTTTGAGCTCTTCCTTCTCCAAGAATCTGGGCCTTCGGGGGGGGGGGGCAAATCCACAAGATGTTCACCTCTCTCGCCCTGCCTTGCGCGGGACTCTTAGGGGACCTCCTGTCACCCCACAGCCGCTACCCAGCGTTTGTGGGGCGCTCAATCTCCTAAAGAGACAGAGCCCATGGTGGGAAAGAGAGTTGAGAAAAGGGCAAGGAGCGATCCCAGGAGGAGCATTCTCCGCAGCCTGGGTGCGAGGGTACGCAGAGTAAATCAAATAGGGAAATGAAAAAAGAAACAAACAAACCAAAAAAAACCTCAAATAATTTTAAGAAAATAAAGGGGCATAAAGAAGAGTCTCTGCCTCTAGACGAGAAAAGGTGGTGCTTGCGCTCTGTTGGGACCCCCGAAATTTGCTGGGGGAGAGACCTGCCAGAACCATTCCTCAGCGGGCTAAAGCTGGCTCAGGCGGAACAGCGAAGTTCTGGCCTCACTGAAAGAGCCGCATAGGTGTCGCAATACCCCCGAACCTCCTCCTTTCGCGTCCCCATCCTCCTCCTCCTCGAAGTCCGTGGCCCCAACTCTTCCCTTTCCCAGGAGACCAAACTCCATCTCCCATTGCTCCTCTGGGTCTGCACCCCTGCCCACCCTCGCGGCTGGTGACCAGGGCCTTCCTGCCCGCTCCCCAACCCGAGGCTTCGAGGCAACCGCGACGGGGTAGTGGGAGGTCGGTCCGGAAATGGAACATTCTGCAGGCTGCTAGGTGGGGATTGAGAAAACTCCATGTAGGGACCTCTCTAATCCGCAACCCCGCGGACCGAGAGAAGGAGCCTCCTCCCGCTTAGAGGAGCAAGTGAGGAGGCCTTGTCTTGCCATCGGGCCATCTTGGTCCTTTTTATGTTCAGAAGCAGATCTAACGTCAGCGTGACACAGCACAGTCTCAGGTTAAAGTCTCCTTCTCTGGTGAGTCCTGGGCTAGGTAAAGGAAGCCACGGGTTCCCAGAGGGTCTGGAGGGCGCGCGCCAAGTCCCGCCCGGGGATTTCGCTACAAGAGGGAAATGGCAAGGGCGTGGACGCAGCGAGGTAGACTCCTAGGCCGAGGTCTGTGCTGACCCGGGCTAGGAATTCCCGCCCGCGGCTGTTGGTAGCTGCCGGAGCCGCCTGCGGCTCGGCCACTCCTTGTCCTACCCAGGGGGAGAGCAAAGGAACCAGCTCCTCTAGCCGAGAGCCCCAAACACGCCACACCCCGGCGTGCTCGGCGCTCCTGGCGGTGCCGGGCCACGTAGACCCGGCCGGAAAAGAACCTCGCAGCAAAAGAACCTTATGTAGCTCCACCATCCCTGTGTTGCCCGTTCGTATGACCCCGTGAACAACTGTAAAAAAACAAGATTTCTGGGAAAGCAACCGGCTAAGCACCCATACTTGGGGCGCAACAAGGAAGCCGGCCTGGAGGCGGAGGTTCCTGCTTTGCACGCGACCCAGACTGTGCTGGGCGGCTTGGATCAGGTCCCCCGCCTCAGGTGACCGCGAGCCTTTAGGGCCTTCTTGTGTTGGGTAGGGAGGTCCTCCCGGAACTGGGCTTGAGCCCAGAGAAGGGCGGCGTGGACAGGGCGGGTGGGTATTAGATTACCCGTCCTGGACGTAGCTCTCGCTGCCACTGGCGGGGCAGTGTGCCTGTCGCTGTCATGAGAAGTGGAAGGAGAGACGAGAGAAGATGAGTTGGATTGAGAGAAAGAAGAATGAAGTCGTGCAACTGGGATTTGAGAAATGAGAAATCCACGGACCGCAGGCGCCGCCTGTGTGGTCTCCCAAGTTCCGAAACCAATTTATTGCGATGTATTCCCCAGACCCCCTCCCCCGACCTCACCAAGCCGCGGAGGCGCCTTCCCAGCACCCAGGTTCTTTATTAAACTTTGTGTCTGTGCTCTTCTAAAGAACAGATTACAGTTTCAAGTGGCAAAAATGTTTTCCGCGCGTTGTCTTGCGGTCCGGAAACCGCCCGCCTGGGAGGACCAGCCCAAGTTCTGACTTTGCTCAGAGCACAACTCCAGGCTCAGCTCCCCTCCCCCCGCCGGTGCGTTTCCTCACCGAGCCCCAAAGGTCTGATTCACTGGAAAAGCCTCAGTGGCTGGCTAAACCTTTGCCCGCGCCCGGAGTGGATGGGGCTTTTTTTCTTTTTCTTGTTTCCTTTCGCCTGAGGGTATTTGATTTTTATGTTTTGATTTTTTTTTTTTCACCCAGAACCAGAGTTTTTCGAAATCACTGGGAATCTGACTCACCGCTGACAGCAGATCTTTGGCGGCACCCGTCTGTGGGGGTGCGCTCGTGGGGGAGCCCACCCTGATTGTCTCGGGGGATCCGGCGCCAAAGCTAGACGAGGTCGCGGCCGGGCCAGGCGGGGTTACAGGAAAAAGACCAAGTGTTTTAGTTCCCTGGCGGCCGTCTAGGCTCGCTCTGCCCAACAGCCAACCGCGCGCCTCCGAAGCCTCGGCTGGACCTCTGCTCCGCCACCAAAATCCCCGCGGGCGGCGGCCGCGCACGTGCCAGCCCGGCCTCTGCCCCAGCTTCGGGCACCCATGAAGGGAGTTTGGGGGCAGCTGCGGACTGGCCGCTACACTTCCGTCCACGCGGGTTACAGCTTGGCTCCCAGCTTGGGCCGCTGGGACCGCTCCCCTTCCCCAGCCAGCGGCAGAATCCGCGCAGGGTAGAAGGCCCAGGCGGCGTGCGGGCTGGGGATCCCGGCGATTGGTGCGTGGAGGCTGGTGTGTGGAATGTTGAAGGCAGAAATCACCCTCAGGGCATCATCCTTCACCGAGTCACACAAATCCAGCAACTGCAAAACATGACACATAGGGGACAGGTCAGATGTTGACGCACTCACAACGACCTAGTGCCAGCAACTTTCCGCGCACCCCAAAGCACCCGCGCCCTCATCGACTATGGACACCAATTTCCCTTAAGAGTCTAGAGACCGAGGAGGGTACAAACAGTTGGTCGGAAAGAAAACCCTCGGAAGCCTTTTTTTTAGCCAAAAATCTTAACTTTCTGACACCTAGTCCTGCGGAAGCCTAGGGTTTTTCCGTAGGGGACGGGAACAGGTCTAACTCCGAATTAGCTGGGGAACAGCAGTCTCAGAACTGACGTCCTCCTCTCCTTCCTTCTTTTCTCTTTCCTTCTCTCCCCACCCTTCCCCTCCCTTTCCCTCCTCTCCACCTCTGGAGTGCCTGGGGTGCCACCATCTGGCGCGCAGAGGCAACTGAACAAGAAGAACCTCCAAACAGGTGAACCAGTACAGACTTGCCCCAATCTTCCCAGACTAGCGCCTCCAGTCCCCGGCTGGACGGAGAGAGGCTTCCTGAAACTCAGCGCGATGTTGGACCAAAGCTAATTATTGGCATGTTTGCACCGTTCACCTTCCCAAACCGACCTGCAGTTACCCAAACACCAAGGAACCCCACGGACACCCTCGGTGTTTTTGACAGTCACTGGAGGCCTGGAGGAAACGTCCCTGGCAGAAGGGAGGAGGGAAAGATGGAGGCCAGTTATTTGGAGAAGCTGCCCTGGGTGGATTTTTATTTCATTTTCCATTCTTCAGGTGCCAGCACATTTTTTTTTTTTTTCATTCCAGAAGGGGAGGGAGAAACAAGCCTCCATTTTTCAAGTTTCCAGCCAGTCCTAAATTTCTTTCATTCCCCAAATCTCAGTAAACTCCCCGGTATCCTGGCTTATTCTTTGGTTTAAAAAACATCACTTAACATGAGCTCCCCCTCCCCCTGCAAGTAGCAGTCATCTCTCAGCTAATGTTGTTAAGACCACAGTTTCTTTTTGTAGTTGTCCAAAATGCCATTTCAGGAGTTCAAAGAAAAAACAGAGCCCAGAAAATGGGGGTGGGGGACAGAGAGTCTGGGTGGGGTGGGGAAGAGCATGGGTGGTTAATGTCCAAATGTGCATCTTCCCTGCAAATGTGCTCTATGACATCAATAATTTCTAATGAAAACCTTCATTCTCCAACCTTGTGGTTAAGCATCATCAAATCAGTACTGAAAAGACTTTGATCATATTTGCAAGATGCGCTGAGATGAACTTTCCCTGACCAAGATTTCAAAGTTTGTAATTAATACTCTTGACAAATCCCTGACTAATCTGTCAACTCTCGGTGTCTCTAACCACACAGTTTAAAACCATGAGATGCTGTATGTAGCCCCCGAACTATCCACAAATTGCCACATAACTGTTCAAGATAATGATCCCTTTGGGTTAGCATGACGCAATTCCACCAGCTTTTGTCCTATGTTCACCAATGGGAGACATTCAGTTTGATGAAAGGTTTTGTGGAAGAGAATACAGATTTCGTTTATCTACTGCTAAATACAGAATTAAGGGTCAGATGTAGAAATTATAGAAGGCAGATTTCTATTCAATATAAGAAAAACTTGTTAATTTTTTTTAAAAAAATGTATGTATGTATGTATTTTTGTGGTGCTGAGGATCAAACCCAGGGCCTCGCCCACACTAGGCAAGCACCCCCCGCCCCGCCCCAATGAGTAGAGCCTAGGAAAACTTTTTAAAATAGAAAATTAAACAGGAACCCAATGGCTGGCAAAGAAAAGAGTTCCTTTACTCATAAGTGTTCAGAGGTGACCCTGCTAATGACATCCTAGGGAAGGACAGTGAACTGGTTGGAGAGACTAGATGTTGACTGTCAAGATTCCTTCTGAATTGAAAGTTCTGGGGGGTCTAAATTAATCCTCCTTCTCACTTTCTTCATGCTTCATGAACTTCAACAGGACCCTGGAAGCCATTCAAGATCAGATGTAAGGATCAGGCCTTGGGTGGTTGGTTGACTGGTTCCAGGTGTTCGCGCCCTCTGTCTCTGCCTGCCAGATGCGGATCATCACCATCATCATTTCATCCATAAAGTACGTAATGGAGTCATCTGTGTCAGGGGCCAAGCTGGGCCTGGAGGGCTTGGGGTCCACACTGCAGGCACAGTGTCTCCTGCATCATGAATCTTGTTGCAAAATTCTATAGACTTTAAAAAAAATATGGTCACCTTAATGCAAAATACTCCTGAATAGCTAATATAGTATTGATTATTGCATTTACAGTATTTTTTTTTTACTACCATGGAGTATTTTTATTTAGGCCTAAGCAATCTATGATTAAGTATAGTTTATTACCAAACATATCCTTTTATATTATAAACACAAAAATAGCACATATTGTAGGGGTCTCCCTGACCTGCCAATTTATGACCCTTTTATATTGGAGAAAGTATTCTAAATTTTACAAAGAAAATTCACCAGCTTTTGGGAAAACATACACACACACAAATGAAGAAGTGCTCTTTAAAAACCAACAAACAAAACACAAACAAGTTATCGTTTTTTTCAGAAAAATTTTCAAAGGGCAGAACCCAAAGGTGAGTATTGCCCCACAAATGATGAGATCGTGAGATCTATTGGGGTGGGCAGGGGAGAGCCAGCAAGTGGAATTTGAGAAGATCTACTTTAAAGAAGTGGAAGTTCTCAAGAGCCCTCCAGGGACTGGTGGAGAGCAGGTCAGTCAGTGGATCTGTGCAGGGAGGTGCTCATGTCAGTCTGGCCCCCCAGCTCCGCCTACCTGCTGTGTTTTCTTCCTTTGCCTCCTTGACTCTTCCAGTACTTTCCTTGTTCTGGTTGGGGGGTCGGGGGGAGGATGGCTAGGATGTCGATGGAGCTCTCCAGCCTCCTGAGCCCTCTACTGCCACTGCCTGGTCTTCCTCACAGCACGGAGGCTGGCCAACTGTGGGCCACACTTGCAGTGACTCCCAGCCATCACCCGAGTGCCTTCACTTGGTTCTCTATCTGGGTAAAGTTCCTCACCCCAACTTGAAATACCTCAAGAGATGAATGCCCAACCAGGACTAGCCCCTGTCTTGCTTGGGCACTGTGCTAGACACTTTTTTTCCATCTCTTGTATCTGAGAGGACTTGACTTGCTTTGCCAATAGAATATGGAGAGAATTCTGGAACTTAGGCCAAAGAAGCTTTGCAATCCCTGCAACCCAGGGGCCACTTCCTCTGCCAAAGCCCAGTCTAGGCTGCTGGATTATAAAAGGCCAAATGGACAGGGGCCAATGTACCTTGGCCAAAAGCCAGCACTCACTGCCTGAGGAGTCGGAGGCCATCTTGCACACCCCAGACTGCTGAACCCAGTTGACTGTAGCCCCAGGAGTGATCTGAGGTTAGACTAGCCAAAGAACTGCCCAGGTTGCCAACCCACAGAACTGGTATCAATCACTATTGCTGGTTAGCACACACAAATGGAAACTTTCAACCTTACTAATGGAAACAACAAAAAAACCTGCTATAAAGTTATCAGTTGTACCTCATCTTCAAAAGGAATTTCGATGCAGCCCACTCCTGCTTTCTAAGAGATTATTAAATGTTGGTGGGCGGTGCATATAATTTCCCATCCATTCTTTCTGAGTTGACTGTGTTGTCTACCCAGTCCCAGTCAGCATTCCATAGACTATTATGCCAGTCTTTGGGGAAGAATCGATCTCTGCTGTCCAGGGTTGTGCTTCTCACGATATCCCCGATGGCCAGGCATGGAAAGGCAACAGGTACAGAAGGGAGCTACTTGGCTGCCTGGCCTTGGAGGCTGCCTGCATCTCTCTCTAACAGTGCCATGAAGTCAATGTTCGTCTCTTTCCACACCGAGGTTTTCTGCTCTGCTCTACATTGACTGACTGGAATTTAATGTGCATCTACTGTGGGCCAGATTCCAGAAGAGGTCTTCACCTCCATGGACTCCTTCAGTGCTCCTCACAACTCTCCTGGGGACCCCTCCACTTTACAAGTGAGGAAACGAAGCCTTAAAAATATTCAGCATGTTGGTGCAAGTCACCACCCTGGTGAGGGTGCCAGTGGGTTTAACCCAGGAACTTCTTTCTACAGCCCTGTCCACCCTGTCTGCTCCATCTTCCTCCAAGCACTCGCTGTTTCCAGTCTTGGAGGCTGTGGGTGTCGCACTGAGGATCACCTCCTGCGTCACAGTCAGTGTGTAACTCTTGATACTCCACCTAAGATGTTCTGTATGCCCAGCGAGAGCACACAGGCCTGCCCAGCCACACTGGCTCAGATGTCCCCAAAATACCATGGCTGTAATGGAGCCCAGTGATGATCTGGCTTCAGAACCAGCTGCCATGATGCAAACGGGTGTCCAGAACACACTGGATTCTCTTCCTGTGGAGGGAGAGACACTTTCTCTGCAGATTTTTCTTTGGGAAGCTGGGAGAACTCCTCTGCACTGGTCATTGTCCCCTCCCTGGTCCTCCAGCTCACCAACTTAAGCCAAAACACAAACACAATTCAAATCCCTTCCAAGGAGCAACATGTGGACCGCCAAATCATGGCCTGGCCGGTGAACACTGCCAAGTCAAATAAGTTGCCTGCAGCTAGTAAAGACTTCTAGCAAAGACTTCTAAACTCAGGAATGCACAGAAGCTTTGGCCTGACTTATCCCCACCCATTCGCTTCTCCTGAAGGACTGCCTATGCTTTATAAAGACAATTGTTGGTGGTAGGTGATGGTGGCTAATGTGCCACCTGAGCCCCTATTGCCTGACCAGTGATCAACCCTTCCTGTGGCACAGTCTCACACGGTGCTGTGATTCTGTCTCTCTCAGTTCACTGCCCCAGAGTGCTCCTCAAGGCAGGGTTGGGCCGTAGCTTGCTGGGCCTCCCAGTCCCAGGAACAGGTACATTTTCCTGGTTTCCTTGACAGCCAAGTTTTGATAGCATGAAACAAAACTCTGTGGTTCAAACAATAACCAGGACTCCTAATTGATA